TTTGATTAGTCGTGAGGTCGTCTTTTGGAAACACTAAAATTAATCATTATATGTTGTAAAGATAGCAAGATAATTTTCAATTTGTTTTATCACGGTCAATTTTTATCCTATTATTAGAAAGTATAATATATATATGAAAATACATTCATCCATACCTTGTTTGACGGATGTAAAACTATGTTTTTGGTTTCTCTGTTTTTGTTAATTATATTTGCAAACAGTAGTGAGTAACAGTGGATAATCAGGAGCAGTATATTAAAAAAGGTTCTAAATTGAATTTTTTTTTTACTCCTTTTCGTACTTATATAACATTTTGATTTGTCAAACCAAATACGCTTACTTTAATGTAGCATAGAATATTTATAGGGGGTAATAAAAGTGAAAAAAAAAATGTAACTGTTATGTTGACCGTGTTCAATAGTTAATTACACGACACTTTTATAATAAGACGTTGATGTACCGTAAGTTAACTAATTCGTGTACCTTATAACCAGTTAATTCATGCTTTATGGTTTAATAAGTATTTTATGGAGTTGAGATATTTGATGAAATATTGAAGTTTGCAAACTTTTAACTGGCATGGCCTGGTGGTTAGGGTGCTCGACTCGCAATCTGAGGGTCGCGGGTTCGAATCCCCGTCCCACCAAACATGCTCGCCCTTTCAGCTGTGGGGGCGTTATAATGTGACGGTCGATCTCGCTATTCGTTGGTAAAAGAGTAGCCCAAGAGTTGGCGGCGGGTGGTGATGACTAGCTGCCTTCCCTCTAGTCTTACACTTGTAAATTAGGGACGGCTAGCGCAGATAGCCCTCGTGTAGCTTTGCGAGAAATTCAAAAAACAAAACAAACAAACTTTTAACTATACGTGCCAAAACAAAATTTAAATGAAAAATGTACCTGATATTTTCAAAATGAATAGCACTTTAGGTGACACATAATTTAACAAGCTAGATCAAAGGTTTGAAGGTGAAGTCGCTTATATCTTAAATGTATTGATCTATTAATTTATTGGACATACAATATAGCTATTGGTTCCACTTGCATTTTATCTGTCTTGAATTTGTTTTAATTAACTCGTAAACTAATAACATTAGTTTGATGGCCATTAATACATTAAATTATCATTCAGACCGATTTGTCTTTCGTTTATTATAAGGCATGTCATACTACTACAGTTGTTTTTTAAAAGTTAAATTCCTTTCCATCCTTGGGGAACAGACGTCTCTTGTGAATGATGATTCGATCGTATAATTTTAACAAAATCATAAAACTTGAGCTACATCGTTTTTCCAGAAAACACATTTGACTTGAATTGTTTTGTGGTACAGACGTTGCTTAACAGAACCTTTACCAAGCGGCCACATACCATAACCAATGTACTATTTTATATTCAAGGGCAGGATTTTACTTCTGTTACATATTCAACGTATTTGTCTTGACTCTGTTTTAAAGTTTATACGGATAAGATCGAAATATCACGGATCGCTGGCGTAATATTTTATGGAGAGAAACGACTATAGAAAAGTTTAGTTTCTTAATTAAGAGAAACTATGAAAAAAAATATATTTAAGGCTGAGTTTTATAAATACTACACTTGTATTATGAAGTGAGTCTAGTCGAGGAAGGCTTTAGTATGGGAGTTGGTTGAATTTTGAAAGACTGATGTCTAGTGGATCCGTCACTATTTGTCTTTCGCATTGGGATAATTTCTTGCTTATCCTAAGGGATTATTTATCAAGATAATTGGGCACAAACGTGAAATAGTTTGATATTGGTTCTCTTTTTGTATTCTAACATTTATATAACACGTCTTTCACATTTGTTTTTCATTTATATGCTAGAAGAGCTTAACAAAGCCAAGCCAGAAGCTATTTTTCCCTCCAATTGTCAGATTCTAATTGAGTATATTTATATATATATATATTTTAAAACCAGATACCTACTGTGAATAAGAATACTGATAAGATTATTCCCCCAATAATATCATCCAGGATATTTTAGTAATAATGCCCAGTTCAATTTTATTAGATAGAATCTGTTCTTTCCACAACTTGTACGCTATTTCCACTTCTATACTTCCACCCTCTTTCCTCCAGTGGACGAATATGATCTCTGTTCCGTCTTTACCTGTTCCCTCAGTCGACGTGCTCCTTCATTCGCAACATCATTAGAAGATCTTACCAGATTGCTCAAGGGCTAAACCTTATTAGCTAGGTGTTAATTTTCTTGTTGAATAATGTACTGCTGAGACCTAGAATATAGGTCGTTATCAGTTTAGCCTTCAAGTCTCTCAAAAGTTATACCCATTTTCTTTAGACAAACTTTGTCATTAATCTTGTGATGAAGCTCAGTTAATTTCTCCAGAGTATGATACTTTCACAACCTTTTTGTTGCCAGGCAACCAGACAAATACATCCTTTTATACGTCACATTTTTACTCTATATGAATTAAACTGCGAGGTTTGGCCATTGGTCAAACATAAGATGTCTATCACTCCACATGATAATCAGTTGTTATAATCAATGCCAGTCTCTTCTCGTATATTCATTTCATGTCTTTGGCTGACTTGATCAAACATTTTCTTATATATCCAGCTGATGAAATTCATTTCATTTAGCTTAATCTAACTGGATCCGCATATTATTCTTTATGTTTTTAACTGGTATATTTTCTACGGTAAGAGCCGTATGGAATGATGGACATGTGGTATTTGAATGGTCAGTTGCAAAAGCCAAAAGTGGGAGTCTACTTCATAATGACGAGAACAAATTGTAAGGCACAAAAGGAGGTACTTGTTTGGTTGGCTGGTAGCAGCAAAGAGAGTGAAAGGGTCATACTCCTTTCTACGTTTTATTGAACCATGATATGACTGATTTCAGTCTCTGTATTAGTATTTAGTGTGTTATATCACTCCCAAGTGCCGATGTAGTGGTTTAAATATGGCCGTGGTTGCTCTGAGTAGCATTAGTCTGGCTAGAATTATTTGTCTTGTATTAACACTTCTGGGAACTCGGGACTAGTATGTATTTTTAAAGAAGCTATCAGTGGAAATGTGCAATTTGCTTCTAGAGTTTGCAGGCTATCCTGCAGTGGACACTGTAGGAAATGGCAGCAGGATTTCAAGAGAAGCTTTCAGGTTGTTAGAAATAGTACTACTGGGACTAAAAGTAGTGGATTTAATTGCAATGAACATGTTATACTGAGCAACAGATTTCAGCCTTTGGCTTGTGCATATGGAGAACTATTGGAGGGAAAGAAAACAAAGGGGAGAGAGAAGGATGTGAATGATAAACTTAAGAAAGTTATAAGTGATTCTTTAACAAGGCATGTGGATAGGATAGTCTGTGAGGTAACTAAGGAGAAAATAATTATTTATGCTAACCAGAGGCACGGGTGGAGGATATAACTGGTAGAGCTAGAGATATAGTAAAGGGGATATCAATGATGCGGCTTGTGTTGTGCACTTAGGGGCTAATAATGTAGGGAAAGTTAGGTCAGAGGAGCTAACTGATACGTACAATGGGCTGATAAAGGCATTTAAAGAATAGGCCATAACTTAATTGTGTCAGGGGTACTGCCGATAATTCATTCTTATGATGAAAATATAAGTAGATCACTAAAGCTGAATGCTAGGCTTAGGTTAATATGTAAAGATGAGCAGATTGGCTGGTTAGAGTTGTGGCATCAGTTTAATGGGAGAAGGGGGCTTTTTGAAATGTATGGTTTACATTTAAATAGAGTAGGAGCTGGCTTGTTTGCGATGGTTATCAACTCAGCTGTAAGGGAAGTTTAAAACTTGGATTAGAGAATGGAGAGGCCCAGGATAAACTAAACGCAAAAAAAAAGATGTAAAAAAGGTTAGCATAGGAAATTATTATAAAACTAGTTCTAAGGTAGGCTTAATTGTTACTATTGTAATGCTAGAAGTATAAGAAATAAAATAGTTGACTTTAGAGCGCTGGTAGGAAAGGAGGATTTTGATATAATGGGAATAACTGAGACATGTTTAAATGTAGATGATTTTTAAGGCAGGAATTTCTTTGAAATGCATGGCTTATTTAATAGGGATGAAGTAATAAAGAGAGGAGGAGTGGCTTTATATGTAAAATATGAGTTACAGCCTGTTAAAGTTGACAATATCAAAGATAATAGCAATAAGATTGAATCCATTTAGTTTTCTATTAGCTTTTTTCTATTAGTGAGAATTTGCTACAGACTACCAGATGATACTGATAAAATTAATGAGAAACTTTACAGTGAGATTAAAATTTCAACTGTTAATGAGGTCATAATTATGGGTGGTTTTAATTTCATGCTCATAGATTGGGAAATGCTAGAGTTAAACCATGAGATTTCTGGAAACTGTTTAAGAGGATTTTATTCACTTATTCGTTATGGAACCTACTAGAAAGAATGCTATTTTAGATTTATTTTTCTTGTAATATAGAAATGGTTGAAAGGGTGGAACTTGGGGAAAATCTGAGTGCAAGTGATTATTACTGTATTAGGTTTTGCTGCATATAGAGATCAAGAATAATGATATTTTGGTTACAAATTTCAAAAAAGTACATTTTGAAGGGATGTAACAAGAATTAACTTGTGAATTGGGCAGCTGACGTATTTGAAGACACTGATCAAGTGTGGAAAATTTGTAAGTATTCAAGATATCCATATTCCTTATAGAAAAAAAAAGGTGGCTTCAAGTAGATAACCAGATTGATTCACAAAAGGTATAAGGGATAAAATTAAAGAAAAGCACCAAAAATTTAAGAAATTTAAATTCATTGGTATGACAGGAGATGTCAAAGATTATAGAATATCAAGAAAGTTGGTCAAACAGGAAATTAGAGCATCAAAAAGGATGTATGAAAAAAGTTGGTTGAAAATGTAAAAATTAATTGTAAGGATTCCTTTAAATACATTAAAGATGAACAAAATGTTAAGATGGGGTAAGACCTTTGAGGGATGATAAAGGAAGGCCCATAACTGAAGGTTATCAGATCAGTTTTTACTAATGAAGATTTAAGCAATATTCCTCATCTTGAATTGTTGATAGATAGAAACAATATCGAAGAAGATTATCACATAAATTTTGAGCTTATTAAGAAAACATTGGGAAGTTTAAAGAACGATAAGACTCCTGGACCAGATAATATTTTCACAAGGGTTTTGAAGAAGTTAAGAATTGGATATGTGAGCCACTTGCTACTATTTTGTGTAATTCCTTGAATAGTGGGCAGGTTTCAAAGGATTGAAAATTAGCTAATGTAACTCCTCTTTTCAAGAGAGGTGATAAAATTGTCCAGTAACTGTTGACCTATTAGGCTTACATTAGTTGTTGGAAAAGTTTTAGAAGGTCTGATAAAATATGCTTTGCAAAGCCATGTAATAATGTTCAGAATTTTATTGGATATTCAACATGGTTTCACTAAGGAAAAATCTTTCCTTACAAATCTTTTGACATTGTTTAAAAATGTCACTGCTTATGTAGATGAGGGTAAAGGTGTATATTTACTGTGTCTGAATTTTCAAAAAGCACTTGACAAGGTGCCACATAAAAGGCTTGTAGCAAAGATTATCTCTATAAGCATGAAGGGTAAGTTAGCTAATTGTATTGAAGAGTAGCTGGTTGGAAGAAAGAATAGAATCAGTGAAACTGGATTAATGTCACAAGTGTAGTACCTCAGGTCTCAGTCTTAAGAGCTCTGCTCTTTTTGATTTACATCAATGACATAGATGAAGGAATACTTAACAAATTACTTAAATTTGCAGATAATATTAAGGTCTTGAGTGTTGCTGGCTGTGAGGAGGAGGATGCTACTTTATAAAAAAGATTTAGATCATTTAGTGAGTTGGGCAAATAAATGGCAGATGGATTTCAGTTATAATAAATGCAAGATAATGTGTAAGGGTTATCATAATTTGAATTATAAGTATAATTTGGATGGAAATAACCTTAACAGTGTCATAAAAGAATGGGATCTTGGTGTAATTGTTCACCAGTCTCTTAAGCCATCCGAGCAGTGTGTTGTTGCTAGTGGTAGAGCAAATGGGATTTTAGGTTGTATCTACAGAAATATTGAATGCAAATCTAAAGAGGTTATAATTTCACTGTATAAGTCACTGGTGAGGCCACATTTAAAATATTGTGTTCGGTCTTGGGATCCTTACCTTAGGAAGGACATTGGATTGTTGGAAAGGGTTCAAAGCAGGACTACTAGAATGGTGCCTGGGATGGAGGGGTTGTGATACGAGAAAAGATTAAGATCTCTAAAATTGTTTTCGTTTGAAAAAGAAGAGCTAAAGGGGATCTGGTTGAGGTGTTGAAGATTGTTAAGGGAATTGATAATGTTGATGAATTATCTTTTTTCTACTTGATGATAAGAATGGTCGGATTAGGGGACACACATATAAATATTATGAGGGATAGGTTCACAATAACTTAATTCTGTTTATACAACACAAACTAATAAATATGAAATGTATGTATATATATATATATATATATATATATATATATGTGTGTGTGTTAGTTAAGTTAGTATAGTAATTATTTATTTATTTTAGTATACGATAATAAGTAAAATAGTAAGTAGTAGAAGTAAGTAGTTAAGTAATTAATTAGTT